CCCTCCCCCCTCCCACCCAACCCTCCCCCCCCCTCCCCACCCTGGCTAACTGTGGGAGCAAATATTTGTGCTAAAGGACTATGCTAGTGTATTTCTATGCAGCTAGTTAGACTTTTAAAATAACAAAGTGCGTATTAGTGCACTAACCACTACACGATCTAAAATACCAAATTACATTGACGCGAGTTTTTTGTGAGTGGAACGACTTAAAAAGGCTCATTTGCATCTTCAAGAAAATTTTGTGCTTCATAGCGATAAAATAAGCATGAAAGATAATGTTTGCACCAAGCACAAATGCTATGCATGTTGCTCCTTGTAAGATAGAATAAACAAAAGAGCCAGTAGTAAGTTGAGCTTTATCGGAGCATGTTTTTTTATTCATTGAAAAGAAAGCGACAATAATACCATAAGTATGGCAGAGAGATTGAATTTAATATAAAATTCATGGATACGATGGGTGAACTCGATAATTTTACTGCTTTCGATATTAAAAAACACAAACGAAGATTCAAATTGTGAAGGAACTTAGAAAATAATGACTAAACAAAGATTCAGAAAATCGAAAAAGGAAAGCTTCTTTTCTATTTCGAAAGAAAGATCATTGGTAATATATTTACTTTCGATAAAAAGTAAGATTCGGCATAAATGGTCATGAAAAATACTTCTATTTAGAGTCCATTTACAAAAGTTAACATCCATTTGAGGAATTTTCAAATAATTATGAAAAGTTGATTTGCCCTATTTTAGTTGCTTACCTCAAGTAATCATGAAAGCAAATAGATTAATTCCTTCTGTGAGATTAAAGCACCTGCCATTCTCATAAATCAATCACTGATTTGTATAATTTGCATTAAGTTGGATACACACAACAAATTTTGCAAATAGTTTTCTATTCTCTTTTCTATGTCAGAGGGAGTTAGATGTGTGAAAGAATGGAAGTAGGAATATTCGCTTCCAATTCCTTTCAATTAATTATTTAAACCAAATTCATTAAATAGGAGTGAGAATAGCTAAGCTCTTACCGTTCCATCAAGAATTTGGTAACTACGGTGTTCGTGGTCAAGAAGACAGATACGAGATCCAAATGGTTTACCGGCGTCAACTACAATACTCAGCTGACCTCTAACCCAGTCGCGATTTTTAAAATCCAGGAGAGAGGTATCAAGTCTAAAATTAACAGGATTTAATACCCGTTTTACATATTTTCAAGTAGATAATTATAATTGCAAACGATAACAAAAATAATAAGCGCTTAAAAATGGCTCACGTTTTGTAATATAATAAATTACTAGGCACGAACCTAAGAAGATTGCCCTTTTTGAACAATCGACAGTTATCAGATGGCAGGTGTCGAGCAACAAAAGGAACTACAAAATACATAAAAATCGACTTAGAGTACGTCTGAATGAAACACATATCGTTGTTCAATTTCAAGTTAAAGTCAGTGAAATAGGAACATACTCCAAGTCCGAAACTCCCATTCGAAGTCTAAAATGCAGTCGGGAATTTCCATAAGCTTCTGGGAAATTAAAGCACCTTGGCCATTGCTACTAAGCTGATCCTTAAAATGTTTAAAACCTTCTCGAACTACAAAGAAATCCAACCAACATTTTAAAACCTACCTAGCATTTCGTTTCCAGTAGCGATTAACTCATCAATAGGTCGCCAGCCGGAAATGTTACGACAATCTAATCCAGCATTACATTTAAGTAAAAGCATGCACATTTCTAAAATTCATACTCTTGTGAATAAAAAATTACCTTGATCTCGTAGCATTGCTGCAATATGAAGTGGAGTGTTTCCTTAAAATATATGTTAAAAGAAAACATGTTGTTACCATATGGATCTGTTTTATTGATAGCTCCCGAATCTGCTTTTCTTATATAGTTTTCAAAATCTGGTAGTCCAAAAAATGCACAGTAGTGTAATGGATATTGTTCATCTATTTCCGGAGACATCAAGTCTTTGATGGTTTCAAATTTTGCTCAGCATAGTCTCAAGGTCGACCTTGATAATAGTTTTAATCTACTTTTGATTTCTATTTTACTAATATGGAAGTCTCAGATATCAAAATAAATAAATATCACATTACATTTATGTAATAAGTTCTTTTATTTCACACTTATGCATGGTTAATCTTATCAGTTAGTATTATAGTAAATTTCTCGTTACGATTTCATGTATATGGAATTCAACTTAATATATTCTGAGAATTTGTCCATTTCAATGTCAGATTTTACAGAAAATCGACTTTTTTTATTATATCAATCGAATTTCTTATAGCGAAAGGAATTCGTTTAAGGAAACTAAGTCTAATGATGTTGAAGTCTTAATTGAATTAAAACCGACTTTAAAGATATTTATCAATTGAGCGAATTAAGATCATATTTAATGCTTTCAAAAGCCGTAACTAAACACTAGCAAGTAATGCCACGTCCATGGTAGTTACGACTCAAACGAAACTTTCTCTAACTTCAATGATAATACCTGACAAATTCCCCTTGCATAGATTGTGACCAAATTTGGCTAAACTAGCATAATAGTGCTGAGTAAATAGTCAGTATGGAGGCACCACAAAGCTTAGTCAATAAATGTAATAGGCAAAGTCTGGTTTCAAGCAAGTTCCTTGTACCCACTACAGCATTTTCTCAATTTGGACATGTGATTCTAATATTCAGCATTAATGACGTTTAGCAAAATTAAGATATTTCACTAAAATATATTGACAATAATATGTTCAGTTTTACTAGTGGATTTACATATGGCTGCTTACTGCTTTCGACACGAAATAATTCTTTATCTGGCCAGTAACAAGAGATAAAAATCAATGTGTTTTAGGTATTTTACCTAAAACCTAAGATGTCTCAACGTTTTGCATTTGTATCTACTTAAAATGATGCTCTAAAATGACGACGTTTCCATATTTATTGTTTGATCCCACATTGCAGTAAGCGGCCTTTACAATAGGTCACTTGTAGTTTCGGTTTTGAGCTATTTTAGTCCCTTTATGTTCATAACATTTGTGATTTCCTTTTTTTGAAGAATTAAAATGGAAGCGAATCGCGATGCCGCGCTTCTCTGTCGAGATCGTGCGGTTAAACATTTCCAGCAAGGAAAAAAAGTTGAGGCTCTTCGATTTGCTAAGAAGGCTAAGAACCTGTACCCTGATATAGATATTCCTGGTAAGTTCTTAATTTTTTTAAATATTGTCATTAGATTTCATATTTCATGCCGATAATGACAATGATACGCATGTGAGGAGGCGAAGATCCGTTAGTCAGCCACGTCATGGAAGTGTACATGAGGAAACACAAAATCGGAGAGAAAAATCTGAGGAAAGGAATTTCACCAAGTCTCAAGTGGAAGCTGTTCGCCGTGTAATGGCTTGCAAGAATCTCTACGATGTTCTCGGTGTATCGAAAGATGCCAGTGAAGATGACGTCAAGCGAGCTTACAAGAGGTTTTTTATAATTTGTGAGTTATTGCACTGTTGTCTAGTTTGGCACGCAAGTTTCACCCTGATAAAAATAAAGCTCCCGGTGCCACAGAAGCTTTTAAGAAAATTGGCAGCGCCTTCAATGTGTTAACTGATGCCACTAAGCGTCGTCGTTATGATCAATTTGGTACTGTTGACGAAGAACGTCCATCTGTCATGCGACGCCGGGAAAATGCTTATAATTTCGATGGAAATGGCGGATTCGATGGTAATTTATCCTTTATTTGTCTCATATTTCGCCTAATTTAGCCGAGTTTATCAATATGTTCTTTAATGGTGGTTTCCCGTTCTCTCAAAATGTGCGATACGCAAGGCATCACACACAGCATCATGAATCGAATGATGTAAGTTTTAGGGGAATATTTTCCCATTTAAAATTTGGCTCTAGACACGCTGTTGGATGTTTGGTTTTCTTTTTCCTCTTAGGTTGATTTTCCAATAATGCAGTTGCTACCTATCTTCTTTATATTCCTTCTTTCCTTGATGACCAGATTCCTACAGGAACTATTACGCCTATAATTACTAACATTGGAAACGAAAACATTCTTTTACCTTGTTTCCTTTTAATTTATGGTTATATTTATGTGTAGAGTTAAAATAATAAAATTATCCCAATTGTTGATTTCTCTTTTCTTCCCGATTTTGTCAATCCGTAGAATAACTATTTCGCCTATGTGCAAATCTTGCCTCTTCTTATCCTCTTTGGGCTCTCGTTCTTCAGTAACTTTCTCGTAAAGGATCCCGTTTTCAGTCTACAGCGAACAACGTTAGTTTCTGCATGCTTTTTTTCTTCTCTGATACTATTTGCCTCCTAACATCTCTTGTTTATGCATCTAGAAAATATCCTGTAGAGCGTTTTACCCATAACCACCACTTGCCGTACTATGTGAAGGAGACCTTTTCAAAGGATTATGATGGTTCGTTGCGTTATGTAGAAAATCAGGTGCTAGATCAGCATATGCACGTTCTTCGTGAAAGGTGCTTCAAAGAACGTTTGCAAAGTAAGTGACCTCTCTATGTTGTGTGTTTCATGCATGTACATTCATTTTGCACTAGACAAGCGTTTGTCAACGTCTTCAATAGTCAATTTGTTAGTATTCCATTTTTAGTATCGATCTCAAATTTTACAGCATGTAAGATATTGAGTAACCCATATGATGTATTGAAATTAGTGATATTCGTACCTATTTTAGAACTGCTTACTGGAAGCATTGAAAAAAGGGCCTTAACGAAAATGGAAATCTGTCTTTGTCTTTTTTGTCTGACGATTTACCTATTCGTATTTAATATTATCACCCTTCTGTAACCGTTGGCCAAATACGATGTTCTCTTAAGAACAGATTACCTTTTGTGTTGATGTAGGTTCCAGTTGACCTACGTTTGTCTGTTCTCTACATTTTCTACTAAAATGTGTTCTTCCAATCGTAAATACCGACTTTATTTGTTGCTTTTGTGTATCTCCATGGTTAATTTTAGGTACTAAGGTGATTCAGGAAAAAATAGCCGTTGGCTAGTATTTTCCGAAAGCCTTTGAATTTTTCTGCCTGCATGTTGTTGTCTATACTCATAAATTGTACTGGCTGCTTCTTTAATGGCTTTAATTGTTGCACTTTCCATTAATTAATTCATTTCTTTTTAATCTCGAGGACCTCGCGGTTGTGGATTCTAATGCCGCGCGATGAAATGCTTTTTTGTGAAGTGATCACGCGGGAATCATTTGAGCAACGATTATCTATTTACCTTTTTTGCACCATTTTTGATATAGTGGGGAGTGTATTCACATTATACTTTGTCACTGTTTACTGTTGTCCCTATTGGTTTACAGAACATGCACATTGGGGGTAAATCTCACAATAGTTTATGAATGCTTTACTGCAGTTAAACGTCACTTTTCACACATTTGAATATATTTCAACTCTTTGCTATGCAATTTAGTTATGTTGGTTGTTACTGTTTTTTTGCTCACTAACCTCTAGTTATGGAAGAAAGGTATTCAAGAAATCAGATTAAGTTACTGAGTTGACTCTTCCTATATTTACTTTATTTCAAATGTAACATCAAAGTTTTGACTTATTTTGCATTACTTGGTACGTTTCACCACAACCCTGTATATTTGGTTCGCATATATTTTTCTCACTACGTGCACATGTTGTCTAGTAGTTTCATTTCTTAATATTAGGGCCAATCCCCACTATCTAATTATGCTATGAGGTTCCTTTGATATCTCCTCTTTGTCTGGTAGACTCGGTGGAACTTTAATTGCTAGAGTATGAAGCCTTAAATGATACCGCATTAGGAAAAACCTCGGCCATTCTTACTATGTGGCGTTATTTGAAATAACGCAAATTGGATAGAACTTCGGAATTGAAAGGCATGCCACAATACCTGGTAATTACTGAGCGTTGCCGTTAATTGGGACGTTTTATCTTTAATGGAAATGTAAATTAGCGAACTGAAACCTGTGCTAGTGTTTGCCACTACCATCTACCACTTCTGTGCATGTATACACGTGGCTTGCATTTTCGGCAGTGGTGACTTTCCTTACATCTTCGCTGCCTTGGATATTAAGACGAAAGTTGATTAAGCTTTGAATTAGATCTTCTTAATGCTAAGTAGTATGCTGCCCCATGAATGTACACAGGGTACCTCTTTGCCTTCCTGACGTCACAGATTATATCTACCTTTTGTTTTCTAAATTTCGCGAACCATTTTGGCCTATATTAATGATGAGGGGATAAATCCATTGAGGTCAATTCATTAGTGAATAAACTCACCTATTGTTCGGAGAAGAACATCTCTTCAGGGCGTGCAGGACCTGGGGAACAATAGGAGGGAATTGCCAAAGCATATTAGTATTTGGAAATAACTTTTAAGTTATAGTTGCACTAAACACTCAAATACTAGTGCCTCTGTGTTTGAATTTTAAGTGGTCAAATTACGGCTGATTAAGTGCCGTTTATAATCGTTCTTCGGCTGAGAGTATGTTTGAAGGTTGGTTAAAGCTTCTGTTGATGATTACTTTGACTAAACGCAAGTAAAGGTCATTTGTACTGACGAATACGATTGTATTTTTCCAAACATCTACCAGAGTATGTAGATGTGGGCATAATTAAAACCGGACCATGCAAATGTGTTGATTGAAGTCAGACAGTCAAGTTGCTACACTATACCCAATCTCATTTTAGGAAATGATTCGTATCTCTATTAGTTAATTTGAGCTTAACACCTTTCACCTATTACCCCCTTTTTGCTTTCTTGTAGAGGAGGCATTATTATACCGAGCCCGTTACCCTCATGATCCCGTTGCCTTGGACCGAGCAAATCGCTACGCAACGCCAAGCTGTGATCGGTTAGTGGAGTTGTATGGATAGCGAAGATCTCAAGTGATTACCCTTTCACCCGAAAATCTTCCGCTTATCTGTTTAGCCTTCTGTGTCATCCACTGCACCGTGTATACATATTCTATGTCATACCTCTGTTTTAACTCGGATCTCATCTTCCTCAATACACTTAGCCTTCTCTTCTTCACATTTTGTCACTTCCTTCTCTACTTCTGTCAATTTGAAAACGCTCAAACCTATTGAGTTTTCGTAAAAGTGGTCAATAAAATCAAAATGACTTGTATACATGCAGTGGTTCTATTCTCGTTTTTCTCGCTTCGATAAGCTAACTGAATTTATGATCTGCTTTCTGTTGCGTTAGGAGGGGTTAATGCTCTTGGTTTTTTCTTACGGTGCTGGTTAGGCCACTAACCTCCCCTGTTATTTCAGTGCTGATGCTTACTGGGATCAGGACAAGATTGGCGGGTGGTCTGAGGTATGCGTCAACCGCGATTGCGCCTAGCCAACGTCTCTGGCGCTCATTTCTCTACGTGCCTGGAGATCAGGAGAAGAAGATCTCCAAAATAGCCAAACTCTGTGACACCAATGAGGTCTCCTCTGCCATTCCAGATATTGTCGTTTTGGACTGTGAGGATGCGGTTTCTGCTGAAAATAAGGTGCACAAATACGTTTATTTAATCCAGAATGATTGATATCGTTAAATTGCTTAGTCATCATTTCGGAAAAAATGCATGGGCATGTACTCTGTCTTGGTGAGATCTGGGTTCTATCATCTATAACTTTGGTTGCCTGTTCAATGGTGGGGGTTCACCTTCGCGTGTTCAAATACTTCCCCTCGATTAATGAGCAGTTAGGATTATGGAAATCGCACCTTCCAAAAGCGCAATATCTCTTACTAATTCAACGTCGTGTAAATAAATATCTTGATATTTAACGATTCGGTTTGCGAACCGCATTTACTTCCCTTTATATGAACGAGCTAAAGGGAACTTTTCTCAATTTCAGAGGTTTTCCCCTCCTTTAAACTTTTTATTTTAAACCTATTGTCGGGAGTTTTTCATTGCTTTTCCTTGAACTATCAAGTCCATTAAATAAGGAACAGTTTTCCTACTCCCAAAATAGTCCGAAGATTTTCCTTCTTGATCCATATTGACTCTAATCGTTCACCGAGTGCTGAACTTGTGACATCCAACAGCATATTTGTTGACCACCACACCACCTGCACATGTAACACCTTTTCACCTTCCCTAACACTTAAATACCAATTATTTTCAATCTCAAAATACTGCAATTATCCTTGCGGAACAGTTCTTCTATTTCTTATTGACTCCCTGATTAATTCACTTTTCCTTCAAGGCTAAAGCCCGCAAGACGATATCCAACACATTAAAAGCCCGAGCTTTCGATAAATACCGCACGTGCCTTCGACGATGCCTCTCCCTTCGAATAAACCCCCCATCCACTGGCTTAGCTGCCAATGATCTCTACCTTACTCTCTCAACTGCCGTGGAGGCAATGAAAGAGGACGTGAGTCGGTGGCCCGGTCCAGATTACATTTCCGTCCCCAAGGTTGAGTCTATTGCCGACCTACTCTGGGTGGAGAGTCAGGTCATGAAGATATTCCAAAAACACGATGTGAAAGTCATTCCCAATATTGGATTGGTTGGGATGGTGGAGTCGCCCAGTTGTTTGGTCAACATGAAGGAGCTCTGTTTGGCTGCTAAAAAGAACCTTAAACTTCCTCTGGTTGCTTTGGTTTTTGGATCGGACGACTACTGTGCTAGTCTTGGTAAGGCTTTTGTTTATGTGTGTGGCCGTCGCTAATTAATTTTAAGTAGGCTGTGTATTTTGTATTAGGAATTCCTAACTCAAAGGGACGTCAAGAGGCTCTGTTTGCGAGGCAGTATATGGTGACAATGTGCCGGGCTTATGGTTTATCTGCTCTTGATATGGTGGAAACAAATCTTCATGGTAAGCAACCACTCTATTTGCTAAGATTGTACTTGCTTGTCACTTATATGTGTGCCTAGTTTTAGTTTATTCTCGCTGCCAATTATTTGTATTTCTGCATAATAGGCTTGAGAGGAGAAATTACTATTTTTTATTCTTGAGTAACTTTTAATGATGTGGAATTGGGAATTATTGTTTGCGTTTCATTGGTCTTTTACAACAATCAGTATTCCTTCTTTACTTTCCTCTGAACTATAGACCATTAGCGCAGTTCGACATAGATTTCATTGACTAATAGTGGGTGATATGAGGCGGGGCGCTGTTGACTGATCTGAACTTTCTCTGAAGTCATTCGACTATTTTCTGTGGTGGTGAGGGAGAGAATCGAGTTTGTAGTATCTGTTATACTTGTTGTGCAGGTGGGCAAGGTAGAAGATATGCCCTTCCATTAGGAATCCCCATGCCTGTTTAGACTATCAACTCATTTTAGCACATATTTAATACAGACGGCTTTCAAAAATAGTGCATATTGAAATTAAATTATGCGTAAGAGATAAAATTCATTTATTATCTTACAGTTGTAGTTATTCTACGGTTTTTACTCTAATCTGAGGCTTTGTTTTGTTGCGATGTTCTTATTTTCCCCATAAGTAGTAAGTTAAATGGCATACCAAGTTAATCAAATTTCATATTTCCACATCACTTTGCGCACGATTCATCCCTTGGCCTATAAGTTGTTTCTCGTCTGCCTGTCTGCGTTTTGAGCTATGATCTGTTTCTTAGCCTGATCCATCATAGAGCTGTCGCCTGTCCTCATCTTCCTTTTCTTTTATCTACATTAGTAGTCTTGCTTAAAATTATTATTATTATTTCAATTGACAGGCTTTATGATATTTATCATTTGCCTCTTAGTTGACTTCGGCTTTCACAAGGGGGTGAGGGGGGGGGGGGGGGGGGGGGAGGAACATCAAAGTGAGAAAAATTCGACAGGGGAAAAGAGATAGACAGACCCAAAGGCAGAGAAAAGGTTAGGTGAGTTCTGTGAAATTAGTGGAATATGACATACAGTGGGGCCATGGTAGCTTGAAATTAGAAGTCAACTGCCGGTTAATAGACTTTTTGCCTTAAGAGTATACGTTGCCCAGGGTGCACCACGTGGAGGTAAGTCTATCACACACCCCGTCTTGCTTAAAATAACTTTACTCGCCATTAGATCATGCCAAATTTTAGCATATGCTTATCTTATCATAAGCACTACAAATAGTCTTAAATTGGAACAAATTTAATAGTGCTTTTTTCAATCAAAAGCGGTTATTGTAAATGATTACACTATCAAAAAGTCATTCAGTCACCGCAAATAAATTATTTCCTCCAATTCATCTCATTTTTTATTGGTTATCAAATGACCATACCAATGGGTTAATTGGGTGTAATATTTTAACAAACAGTTAATAGAAGTCTATCGCCTGTGTTTTCGGTTGAATGATTAACCCTGTTTACAAAGGACTGTGTGACTGTTTTGTCGACAGCCGAATGCCAACAGGGCTTATTTTGTAGATAGCTAGCCTCTAACTATTAGGTTGGCAACTAAGTCATTGCCGATTTTAAATAAGAAGGCAAATTCGGTATTTTTGTTTAAAAATATAACTTTATTCAATTAGATATTGGCCGTTCTTGTCGATGACCTTTTTCCATCCTTCTGGCAGAGTAAAAATTCCCCGTTCGTAAAATGTCTGGTCTTTGCTATTAAAAAACTGAATTAGGTGTGACCCGACATCATCCGCGTTGTTAAAAATTTTACCATTTAAAGAGTTTTGCATGGAACGAAACAAACAGTAATCCGAAGGCGCAAGGTCAGGGCTATATGGTGGGTGTGACAAAACATCCCAACCCAGTTGCAATAATTTTTGCCGAGTAACCAAAGATGTGTGGGGCCTTGCGTTATCATGATGGAAAACAACACCCTTCTGCCGATTTGATAATGCCGGCCGCTTATCTTTAATTGCATCCTTCAGTTTTTCGAGTTGTTCAACATACACATTTGAATTTATCGTTTGGTTCTGCGGCATGAGTTCAAAATACAAAATTCCTTTGTGATCCCCCCACCAGACTGACAGCATAATCTTTTTTTGGTGAATCTCTGCTTTTGATACTGTTTGGGCTGGTTGATCTTGCTTCACCCATGATCTCTTGCGAGTAACATTGTTATAAACTATCCACTTTTCGTCGCCAGTAACTAGGTTCTTCAGAAATGGATCATTCTCATTGCGTTTCAGTAGCGGCGAATCACAGATGCTAATCCGTTGCGTCAAATGAATTTCCTTTAACTGGTGAGGGATCCATAAATCAAGTTTCTTGACATAACCAAGGGTTTTTCATTTTTTTTCAATGCATGTATGCGACGCATTGAGCTTCTCTGCAATATCTCGTGTTGTGCTGTGACGATTTGAATCGATAATGGCCTTGATATGGGTTTCATCCACTTCCACTGGGCCGCCAGATCGTTGTGAATTTTTCAGTGAAAAATCACCGGAATCACGAAATCTTTCAAACCAATTTCGACACTGCCTTTCTTCTAAGGCTTGCGATGCGTTCTTGCCTTTTCGGAAGTAATACAATAAAATGTGTCGGAAGTGCACGTCCTGTTCTTTCATTTTTAAATTGGGATAAAAACAAAACTAAAGAAATAGACAAAAAAATTGTTTACTAATTAACCTAGAAGCCCATACAGTAAGAAAAAAATATAGGTTAGATGCTCTGGCCACGTTAACAAAACAAAAGAAAGTATAGAGTGAATCCGTCAACAAAAACGGCAATGACATAGTTGCCAACCCAATAAAAGAAGTTGAAGTGCGTTTAATGTGGTCCTTTTTTTCCAAAGTGGGTAATTATGCAAATTAACATAGCAGATGAATTGCATAGTGCATCTTGGAGTACTTCTACTTTTTTACAAATAAGTCGATTTGAATTCACGATCATGAATTCGAATGAACCAAAATTTTGGAATTTTGAAGATCAATTTCGGTGACATTGTATAATATGCGCTATTTTCGCAAAGTGATAGGAAATCATCTTCAAATTTCTTCGTCTTTCAAATAAAGCAAATTATCTTATCTCTGTTAATTTAAGGCAGTAAACTGTAAAATGGCGTGTGTAAGATTATGGTGAGGTCTTGACTATTGGCGGAAAATGAGGTGAGTTTGCAAGGTCAACCATCATTGTTTAAAACATCGGTTAGTAGATACTAAAATCTATATTCTGAAACATTAGTTTTCAATTTTGCAAATATTCTTTACAACTCCACTCTAAAGTCCAAATGGCGGAAGACTTTTGGTACTCTGACGTTTGCTATCAGCTTCATATCGATTTTAGCTGTTACTCATTGCTATTATTTTTCCTATAATTTGTATGATAAGATAATATTCGATTTCAATTTAGTTGAATTTATTGTGTTACTTCAGGAAGGTTTTTTTGTGTATTCCCTTCATCATCCTAACTTCTCTTATTTCTAGTATTTTAAGTAGTGAACTGACATGGGCAATTGGCATTCTAACAAGAAATGAAGTGGTACGGAGAGGTCCTGTTAATAGTGGAGACTAAAATCTGGTCACCAAAACAATTCAGCATTCCATCGAGCACACCAACTGATTTATACATTTGCACTTTCCCAGTTGTCTGATTATTTTTTGCCAGTCCCTCAAGGAAAGAACTGAAAACTGTTGGCTACACTTACATAACGTGCGCTAATCCGGCTTCTTCAATACAGCCCTGTTCCCATCCACTTGCCAATTTCTCTTTCATCGCACTTTTTCTCATTCATTTCTCTTCTTGACTTGATAAAAATACAATGGACAGCATATTTCGTTAATCAACCGCCAACCACTAACAATGAGGAACTCTCAATCTGCATCTTGCCATGACGTAGAAGCTCGTGCAGTTATCTCGACGATGGGGCGTAAATGACACTGTACACGAAGAAATATTTGTCCTTCTTTTACTATAATGGAGTAGGTTTTCTTACCGAACGAGTAACTAGACGTTTTCCTTAAATGCGTTTCCTGTTCAACGTTATCACATAGCACCAGAAAAGTTTCTTACTCTATTGACGTGTTTGATGATCTTTATCTCTAGTCCTCATTTTCTTTACCCCGCTTTTTAATGCTTTAAGAATATCTTGTTTCGTTATTTCTCCTGCAGATATGGATTCTTTCCAGGAGAATTGTAATTTCGGCGCTCAACTTGGTTATGATGGCAAACAGCTGATCCACCCGGGTCAAATTGAACCTGCTAACATCGCTTTCGCTCCTAGTGAGGAGAGGATTGAATGGGCAATGGCTGTAGTGGACGCAGCTGCAGCTCAGACTGCCTCAACTTCAGGTGTTAGTTCCACAACCGACAAATCCGCACTCAATGCAGGCGCCTTTGCTTTCCGTGGGCACATGATTGATCGACCCACTGTGAGACAGGCTGAACGTGTTGTCGCCCTGGCCAAACTTATGCGTGGGGATTGAGATGAATTTGGACATTTGCATTATGTTACAATTGTAATAGTAATATAGTCTTTATATCCTCACCAATAATTTGTCTTCTTTTAATATTTGTAAAATTATTATTATCAACTTCGTGTCTATTGTATGTTTGCTAAGTGTTTGGGGAAATTGTCGTTATAATGCAATGATAAATTAATGTCTTTGTGTTTTTGCTCGATCGATTTTATGCATTTTTATTGTCGAAGTACGAAATAGCCGTTTCTTGTCGCTAACTTGGTTGGTGCGTACCCAGCTACAGAAATGTTTATCTAATGAATAAAAGTCGGAAAGTGACTGGTTTTGTCTGTTTGCTGAACGTATCTTGTGTCCTACATTGTGGTCGGTGAATGATTAGAAGCTGTTCAACAGCTTCCTAGATGAAGGCTTATTATAAAAAGAGTAAAACGGAATTAAATGGCCTTAATAAAGGTGACCAAGAAACGTTAGAGTGTTGAGAGAAAGGGGAATCGACCTCCACGCTGCCGTGGCTGCTTCTGTCCAAATTAGCAATGGAAACTGTTCGAATATCTTGTTGATTTACCCTATATCCACTTTAATGTGGATTGTCTACTTGCTCATAAGTGCTTTCCTGCGTGCTAGCGATATTGCAACCTAAGTCTTCCTCCAGTTCTTAATATAGATTGTTTCAGGCCTAGCTTAACTTTAACGGCTTTCTACTATTTTGACGCGAATGTTCCTTTAAACTGCGATAGAGGTTTTCTTGTAACAATTTACTTTTTACATTATTTTGTTCAAATTTTTGTATTTGTATTGATTTTCTACCTTTTGAATATATCAATGTTGAAGGCAAGAAGTGGGATTCACTTGAGAATGTCCCTGTATTCATCAAATATACTCAAATGGGAAACGACGATGATAAGAAGAGCTTTTTTTTTCTTTTAAAAGAAGGAAATGCGAATATAACTACCCTTTTCCTACGTACTATCAATGTTCTTACATGTTGGCAAACATTTCTGACATTTTATCATTGGTTCGGTAGGCCAAATATGGGGAAGGGAATAAAAATTTAACTCACATTCATTCGATTCGCAGCAGTCTCAAGTTAGTAGGTCTCTCATCCTCATGGTTTCAAACCACCCTATATAAAAGGGACTTAAAAATGTCCCAGTTGATTCTCCTTCCGTTAATGGAGTGTATATTAAAATGGCTAATAATTAGGTTCATCCTTTCAGTAAAAGTGCAGACATAATCCATGAAAGGCTTTGCCGTTTTTTCTGGATTTGCGGTTAGCAGCTTAATACTGTGAGCTTTACATCGGAAGTCCCCTTTAAAAAAAATCAAATTTCAACAATGAACGGAATATCGATATTGTTGACTATGATTTGTTAATATAATTCATAATTGTTTTACCTATTGCAATTAGGAAAGAATACAATGATCTTGTCGAAATCATAACTTAATTTGATATTACTATAATAGGATTTTACAGTTGTTTGCAAATTGAAATTTAGTTGAGTGGACACTTTCTTGTTTTTATTCCAGATTCATCTTCTTCGCTAGTCCTTCGAGTTCATGCTCTATTGTCTGCAAGCTTGATTCTTTCTTAGCATTTTTATGCACTCTGGTTCCAGAATTTTCAGCGCATTCCACACAACTAGCATTCTGATTCAGATTGTTTTCTGTGGTGAATTGATTTTCAATGCGTTCACGAACCTTTCGGAGATTCCCATCTTCCATGACCATCAAGTCTCCGCTTTGTTGCAATTTCAGGTTGGAGATAGGGTTCCTCATGTCATCATAAGTATTTTCAATTTTAATCGTAGGAAGCTCTCCCCATTCTCTCGGCAAAATGGAGTCTTTTCCAGCCTTTTGTCTTTGGGATTTTGCTTTCTTGATCATGTCTTCATTAACTAAGGCATTTCTATCACCTTGGAAAGCATCTCGAAGTTTTTCGTGAGCTAGAGTTACCACAGTGGTATATTTGAATCCCTGACTAATTGGCGTTCTTCCCAAATTGTTCCTTGGGTCACTGAATGTCTTCATTTTTGTAGCAAAATCATTGATCAACTTAAGGAAAAGATAGTGTCTACTCGGCTCAGTAAGGTAAACAACTTGGATTACCCAATTTCCCCGAGTAAATAGAATTTCGTCTTGAGGATTAGCGATGCTTATCAACAGATCTGTCGGGGGCTGATCATAGTTCCTATTAGGGATTGAATGGCTTAGAGGAAGTAGGGTATTTCCATCAAAAACTGAGAGCTCGCAGTGACACTTTCTGGCAATGTTGTTCCGGACTGAGCGATAAATGGAACTAGTAAAAAGATCTTCATTTCGAGTTCCCATGGGAATTGTGAAAATAAATAGGGCCACACCATTCTGAGTAGCTGCTGAGTGGGGAAGAAGATCAGCCTTAGAAGATGCCATGTTTAGCATAACAAAATAGAAAAGCAAAGCCGATTTTAAAGACACGTGCTATTAGCTTATCGATCAAGTTTACCCTTCAAATCAAGTGACAATAGCGTTCAAGACGGCGCGTTGTTGGTTTATGAAATGGAGGCCTTTAAACTAAATTAAATACCTGAGATATCTCATTGTTTAATTACTAAAATATGTGGGAAACCATTTTGACAGTAAAGGGTAATTTAAAATACCTTGTGTTTATGGAATAATTAATGAAATTGATGAGGGTGATGAAAGCAGTTCCAGCATTGGTTCATTCCTAATTTGTGTCAACGTCAATTTCAAGCTCCTATTCCTCCATCTCCACCAAATTAAATGAAGATCTATACAAATTCTCTGGAAGATTTTGAAGACGTAAGGTAGATAAGAGTGTCTAATGAACATTCCATGTGGCACACATCCGATTCAGAAGCTAAACTATATAATTGGAGACATGAAGCAGCTGCAGAGGGAAGAACATCCGCCTGAATTCATCACGCCCCACAAAACTGAACCTGGTAGTTTTGATGGAGCTACTGAGGCTCAGACTTGAAGAGTGGCCTCCATGCGATTTCGAAATTTTAATCTAAGCTAATAATAACCTCTACAACCTAATCCCAACCACACAACGTTTCTTAATGCCTACGTGACTTAAATCCATCTTTAAAACCGTTGTATGTGCTCAAGTAATTTACTACACTTAGTGGTATTGGCCATTTAAGCGTTCCTTGAGTGAGCATTGTAATGGTTCAGTTTTCTCTAACATAGAATTTCTTAGCATTCCATTTATGTTATGCATTCTTTACGAAACTATACCAACCCACTCCCCTTTGACATGTATCCTCTGCTCTAATCTCTCGCAGTTTCCTCCTCCTGTTGGCTATTTTATTCACTGTTGAGCAGTTGAAATACTTGGAAGACGAAGGTGAATTGCAGCATATGTTTTTGAACAAACCTATGAAGATTAAGGAATTGCAAGGTGAGTGTTTTGCGTCGGAGGATTAACTTAATCTCTCATGTGGTCTGATAGAAATTCCGACTTTTGGAAGGTGATAAGATCTAATCAATCGATATTAACTCCAGCTATCCCCAAACTATTTGAAACACAAGGTTAACTCTCTAAGTTACGATTAATCACTGCGGTTTCAGAAATATCTTGTTTCGGCATATGGACTATTTTTAGTGGAAGATTGGTATGAGTAGAGAGACAAGTCTTGATCTCATAAATGAAGAGATACAAGAAAGGAAAAAATCAGTAGAAAGGGTGACACTTTAGTGCAGAAGTAAAAAGTGAGAAAAAATTGAAAGGAAAGTGGCTTGGAAGGTGGACGACGCAGCCTACCACGGATATCGGAAGACGACTATGCTAGCAACCCCACCAGACGAAACAGGGAATCACTTGCTAGCACATTGGCTTAAATAGGCATACAAGGACAAGGGGGAACCTAGCATCTGAGGTCCACTTTAGGACATTTTGTATACTTTTTTTAAACTAAGGTAATTTTTGCATCCAGATGTTTCCGTACTTTCAAATTTGGTCCGCACTTAATTTTTTTCTTAATCTTATTTATCTTTTAATCCTAATTCAGAGGCAAACTTTCGCTTTAAAATTTTTTAATCTAAAAGAAAACTATATTTTCTCGTATACACGAATAAGCCTCAACAATCTCTATGGCATGATCTCCTAGAGTTTGGAATGTCTATCGAAATTAGCTACGCTAATCCAGCAATGTAAAAGAAACAGGTGTATGGCATGGAATACGTTTATCTGGGCTGTATGATGGATGTGTGTTGCCAATATGGAGTTTAATCACCACAAACACTCTTTGGCACGCTGATACTGTTATGCCTATTGATTATTGATTGATCAAGGAGTCACTGCATATGTGATTTCATTTGCCCATTAACAGAAGTAAAACCGAACTAATAAGTGTAAAGTAATTAACTTGCGAAAGCCCATTTCCTTACCTATTGCTGTTATTTAGAAAGATCCAAGCCCAGCGTCGCGAAAGTTTCAATTCCATTAGCTGTGGCGGCTCAGAAATGGAAATGGCAACGATTGTCTTTTCCTAATAGACATAATGACTTGAAGACAGAGTCCTAATGAATCCCCAACGGAGTTATTACTTTTAGGTTTTGGGGTGTGCGATAGACTTACCTCCACGTGGTGCACCCTAGGCAACGTATACTCATGCGGCAAAAAAGTCTATTTATCGGCAGTTGACTTCTCACTTCAAACAACCATCACCCCCACTGTATGTCACATTCGACCCCTACCACTACTCATCTTACCCTTTCTGAGCCTTTGTATCTGTTTCTTTTACATCTTTGAAACACCCTTCTATTCCCCCTCCTGAATTCTTCTCACTTTGATGTCCCTCCTCCCCTCTGTGAAGCCCGAAGTCAACTAAAGGGCTAATGATAACTATCAAAACGCCTGCCATTTGTTATAAATAAACTTTTAGGATTTTACAGTTAATTTCTATTCGATTTTTTGCTCTAGACGATTGAAAATTACGAGACTCTCCCACCACCATTAAATTTTAAGCAAATGCTCATATTGAAAGCTCTATCTGTAGATCACGCCGTTCTAACACGAATAAACTAAGCAATCTAATGCTTGCTCGAACATTCTAGAGGGAGCGGCCGTGCGTGCGAAAGCCATCTCACCTAGTCAGCAATTAGCTTTCACTCAAATTGAATTATATGTATACCAATTACTAATT